AAAAAAAAAAAAAAAAGTTCACAGAAACACAAGCTGGGAGTGGGATGGTTATCTGCTGAGAGCAACTGCCCAGATACATAGTGCGGTCATAACATCACGGACTTGCCTTCTCAGGTACGCTGGCATCCTCCTGGGCATCACGAACACATTTGCCACCGTTCCGGGAATGGTCGGGCCCGTCGTCGCCAAAAGCCTGACCCCCAATGTAAGTCGATGACTCGCTGGCTGAGTATAAGAGTTTGGAGCTGCCATCTGGGTCAGAGTTGAATATATGTTAATTAAGGGTAAAACTCCAGATGTTTATGCTTATGAAATCCTTTATAGCCACAAAAAATGCCTTAATGAATGGGAAAGTATGTTCTCAAAGAACACTTTTGGGTTTTAGAACCGTAGATCTAAGTTAATGAAGCTTTTGTAGCTGAAACTACACAAGTAGTTGAAAGTTATGATGTTATACCAGACAAATAATTTTTGTCTCTGGTTTGGACGCATAAAAATTGGCAGTGTGTACATACAAAAACCACGAAGGTGATGTGTCAGGAATTGATGGGAGAATGGATAGGGGCTGTTGAACCAGTCAAGAATATACAGAGGACCCCGACGTGGGAGACACTGAAGGCTGCTGGCTGAGCCTTGGCCATGTATTCTTGGCAGTTCCATGAAGGCAGGTAGAGGGAGGTTCTGAGGCGACGTCAGGAAAGTTTTCTGCCCAAAGCTGTTAGTTCCTGGAATGACCTGCCTGCTTTCTGTATTAGACATTTTCTCAACAGGCATTTCTCTGGTGCTTATTAATATGCTAGATATTGGAGTTCAGAGGCAAAATGACCAGCTCTTCTGTGCTTGAGAAACCCACCATTAAGAGATGATATGTGATCAAATGACTGAGGTCCAGGTGACAAGTGCGGTGTGCGGTGAGAGGAATGTATGCAGAGTGCTGTGGACGGGGAAGGAGCCCATGAGTCTAGCCAGGTGGGGAGGGTCAGGTTCACAGGCCTGTGCCAGGGACCAAGCCCTGAGGGACAGGGTGGGCCCCAGGAGAATTGCCCTGGAGCCCAAAGGCCACACTGCTTATCAGTCAGCAGAGCAGTTTAGAAGGCCACCTACATTGCACAGGAAATTTTCAAAAGGCCCCTTCCAACTCCAGTTTTCTACCATTTAAAAATATCTAAAGGTGACTGGGTGCCGTGGTTCACACCTGTAATCCTAGCACTTTGGGAGGCCAAGGCAAGATTGCCTGAGCCCAGGGGTTCAAGAGCAGCCTGGGCAACATGGCAAGACCTTGTCTCTGCGATAAATCAAAAAATTAGCTGGGCATGGTGGCACATGTGTGTGGTTCCAGCTACTTGGAAGGCTAAGGAGGATCACCTGAGCCCAGCAGGTCGAGGCTGTGGTGGCCCTGAGCAGAGAGCCAATGCACTTCAGCCTGGGTGACAGAGTGAGACTCCAACTCAAGAAAAAAAAATCAGAAGGAAATTAGTATCTGTCTCTCTCTCTCAGCGACTGGCAGGATGCTCTCTTATCCCTGGGGATAACCAGGGGTGCCAACTCAGATGTGTGCTCACCATGACAGTGCTCCTGCATCTTCCCACCCGCTGTGTCCATTCCTTCCTTTTGAGTTGGCACCTTTGTAACTGCCCTCTTGCTTAGCAGAAAGGAAAGTTGCAGAAACGCTGTTTCTAGAGCTCTGTGTCTCAACACAGACATATCTCCAGGGAGCAGGATGGTGACTCAGGAGCCCAGACCCACACACTGCTCCTGTCACCTGCTGATCAGGCCCTTTGCTGGGAAACACAGATTCCCAAAGCAAAGTCTGTGTGTGTGTGTGTGTAAAGAAGTGGGTGCTGGGTTGGACTGGGGGTGTGTTACAACATTTACTTCGTGGTATTAGAAGGAAAGTATTTTGAAAAGGAAAAACACTTGCCTTTACAGTTGTAATGGCTTACACATAAAATTGATTGCAAGACCTCAGAAAACTTGGTGAGTAAGTCAGAGAATAAAGAAAGAATGAACTAATTAAAATGTACGGTATCTGAGGGTCAATATTGTGATTTTAAAACTCGCATTTTCTCAAAACTGGTGGGATTTTTGTCATAAAACAAACCAGCAGCTCTGAGATTCCTGATCCGATTGACTGACTTTTCAGCTGCCCGCTGTCTCCAGCTCACCGTGGGGTGCTGTCGTATACCTGGACACTCGGGGAAGCCTGGTTTCAGTGCTGCTGAGATGCAGACTTACACTAGACACCACCTTTTTGTAAAGACACCATCTTTTTTTTTTTTTTTTTTTTTTTTTTTTTTTTTT